TGCCAATATGGTTACTAAAACATAAAGATTTAGAGAAAGAACTTTATTTTGATATGAAATCTGAGCTAAAGATTACTAAGTTTGAGATTAAAATAATTGAATATGAAGCTAAATTCTTAAATAAATTTCTGAAAGAGGATGAATGTCTTCCTGAAACAGGTAAGCCACTTCTTCCTAGAAATTTGCATAATTTAGCATATGTATTTGCATATGAAGTGCATAGTGCAAAAAATCCATCAAAAACTTTAACCATTGCCAGTCAGGTACTTCAGCACTGTTCTGATAACAATATGTCTCCAACTAAGAAGTATACTATAATGAATATGCAAGCCTACAGAATGCCTTACAATGAAGCAAAACCATTCATGTTCTCTAATAAAAACCAATCATATATATGGATTAGAGGATCAAGATATCATTTATTAATTTTATTTTTTCATTTGCCTAAGATATAGCGTATATAAAATATTACGAAAATGGTAACTGAATGAAAAACATTCATCTGATAGTACACCTAGCAAGCATGAAGTTATCAGATACACAGAAAAATTAGCTCAGATATTTAGGCTAGACAAACAAAATGCATATATGTATAATGTGTTTTTTGATGAAAATATGGCACTAAAGAAACAATTGAAAGATTATTATACCCAACATAATACTTTAGAAAGGAGGGTAAAAGGATTAGAAGGGATATGAAATCCTTAAAAGACAAATTAAAAATTTAGACAAATGTGTGGATAGGGAAACTGTGGTTGACTTAATACAAAAAATAGCTTTTTCAGTTAATATTAAAAAATGTAAGAGTCTCTTCTATTCATCTGAGTCTTCTGAAGATTCTGATTCAGTTGAAATAATTGAGAATCCTAAAGGTATCAGGTAGAAGAGGTTATTCCTCATAAGCAATGAAAAAAATCACGACGAAGAAAGGTTAAACAGTTTGTAGTTTGAAGTAATAAATCAGATAATTTGCATATTTTCCGATCAAAGTTATTAAGTTTAATAGATAAATAATCAAAATGAAAAGTGATCAAAAGCATTTGACATTCTTAACCAATATCCTGCTCAAATCTACTTTGCCTGAGACTAGTTTGTCTGAATCTAATTCGTCATCTAAGAGTAGTTCATCTGAGTCTAATTCATCTGAATCAAGTACATCTAAGACTAATTTATCTGAGACTAGTTTATCTGAATTCAGTTTGTCCGATTATAATATTAATGAAATAGTAAATATGGTTAAGCATCAAAGGATTTGGAAATATTTAGCTTGAAGTAAAAATTCAGTAGAAAATACATATAATAAAAATAAGACTATTAACTATTTAATAAATACTAGATCGCAGTAATAGAGGCTGGTCTCTTTAGGATTGATTTATTTTTTATATTTGGATATTATATGCCATAATAAAAATAATAAAAATGGTTCTTATAAATTGCTCAGTTGAAGAAACTGACCTTACTTAAGTAGTACTTGATACAAACGCTGATGTAAGTTGTATTAATGAAAAATGTGTTGATGAAATGGAAATGGTATATGAAAATGATGATATCAATCCTAGAGTAAATGGGATTTATTTCATATTAGAAAAGGTTAATCTATGTTATACTTTTAATAATGACAAGAAGTATAAAAGTATATTCACTGAATTCATAGTTGACAGACCAGATTGGCCAGATCATTTTCCTGATTTAATCTTAGGAATGCTATAGTTGTGAGAAAATAGTGCAACTTTAGATATATGTAGTTCAAAACTATTATTAGACAATAATTTTGCAATCCCATTCAAAGAAGTAAATTACATTTAGATATTATCTGATAGTCAGATTCAAGCTATAACTGATTTTTCCAACCAATAACCCAAAGCAGTGATCATCTGTTCAAAAGATTTGTTCTGATTGAAAGTTATTCTAACCATATAAAAATGCATACAATTAATTTACTAGAACAACTTCTGCCTGAACTAATACCACTCATTCTAAAGTATCTTCCAGAATGGGACCTAAAAAATTCTCACAGTATAAATGATATATAGGAAAGAGAGGCGAATCATATATTGTCCAAAAGAATGAAATTTCAAATGTGAAGATTGATTCAGGGTAATTATATGATAAAGGAATTTTATTCGAAATTGAAAAAGTGTAATTTAAGCAAAGACTATCCAGAATGGCTTCTTAAAATCTATTTCTCAAAGGATTATTACCTGAGAATACGTTTAAAGTTCTTATTGATAGTTTACAGGTTCTTGCATTAGATAAGATAGTGAAAAAGCTTAGTCCAGATCAGTGATCGTGTAATTTTATTTTTTTGATTGAAAATTCTTCTAATCTATAAAATACATGAAGCTAATTTACTTGTTACACTTACGTCTGAATTTATACCCTTTATTCTAAAGAATTTATTGATACAGGATCTCTATAATTGTAATAGTATAAACGAAACATGGAAAAAAGAAGTCAGTCTCAAACTATTTAAAAGATCCAAAAGAGAACAACTTCTATATTGAGATCTCATATTTGAAAAGTTATATTATCAGCCTGAAGATTTTTATCAAACTGCTGAAAAAATGTGGGATTTTTGTAAAAAGAGGCACTCTGAGATCAGATCGGATATAAGTTTACTCTTACAAAAGTCAAAGATTAGTTAAACAAATAGGCCATATATCAGATACATAAGCCACCGCTAAAGTTTGTTTGTCTATCCTGATTAAGACTGATTTGGAGTAGTAATCATCAGCTCAGAAGAATATTTTACATTTAGAAGTACCATGTGTAACAAAAAAATATATTAACTAATCTGTTCTAGATATAGGCACTGACAGCTAATTTATATTTTTCGATTAAAGATACAGAATATATTATTTATGACGCATTTAAGCATTTTTATTATACTAGAACTATTAGAGCAGATTTTATATTTTCTAGCAGTAGATAAGACACTATATCCTGTTTTATTTATATTCTGATTGTGATACAGATGCAGTGCTTTTATTCTATAAAAACACATTAAGCTAAAGGGAAATGACCTGAGATATAGGCATTATTTTTCAGAAGATTATAATTATTGTACAAGAGATTGTATTCGATGGGAAAGATTTGTAAAAATAATATGCGAAAAGTATAAGCCAGCTTATATCTCAAATACAACTCATTTAGAAATTACTTTTTATCATTCACTTTCAGATAAAAAAATAAAAAGTATTGTAGAAACATTTCTGAATATAATTCATTTAAATTTTAAAGATAGTATAGGTTTTAGCGATAAATCACTATTTGTAATAGCAGAATCGAATCCTAATTTGAGATATCTTAATTTGTGGGATGCTCAAATAACCGATAAAGGTTTATATGCAATCGCGTGATCATGTTGTAAATTAGAATATCTAAATATTTCTTACTGCAGAAATCTTTATTTGAAATCACAGGAAATTGTCATGATTTGCAAGAGTTTTATTTTGCCGAAGCATGTTGGATTACTGATAAATCTATAAGTTGCATCATAAACTCATGCCCAAATTTACGAAAACTTGATATGACGTTTAGTCATGAATATGTTAAAAATGCTAGTACTTTAATGTGAATAAAGATGGGAACTGTAATTAATATGTTGCAACTTTTAATGTTGCAACTTACGTTGCAATTAGTTTTAACCTATATATGTTGCAACTAATTTTAGCTTATGTTGCAACATTTTGTAAATTTGAAATCAATTGCTGTACCATTTTTAAATGTGAAGATACTTCAATATAGAGTATCTTGACTTTAGTGGTGCTATGACTTTATAGGACAATAGATTAATTATAGTCATTATTAAAAGATCTCCAAATTTAAGACATATAGAAATCAGTGGTAATGATATTAATGATAAGGTTACTAAAGCATTAGCTCATACTTGTTATAAATTGGAATATCTCGATCTAAGTTGCTGTTCTTTTGTTAATGAATCATCAATTTGTAATGTTATACATTCCTACCTAAGACTCCAGTATCTCAAACTTGAATATTGTAATATTACTAGTATAACTATTAGAGAAATTGCTCGCTCATGTTTTAATTTAAAATTTCTAGATTTGGATGAGTGTGAAAATATTAGCAAAAAAGCTATGAATCAGCTCAATCAAAACATTCATATTGATAATTTTGATAAAGAATACTACTCTAATTCAGAATCTTCAAACTCTGGTTCTGAAACTGAATCAGATGATGAAGATTGTTTATAGTAATAATATGTCTCTTCCTATATTTATGGATATAACTGATCCCAAAATTCTTAACCGATCAGCCAAAATTTCTCTTTTTGTTCTTGACAAATCCAAAATAACCAGAATGTTTTTACTGATTTTGAATACTAACATTTGATATTACACAAATATGCAAACTGAAATAGATTTATTAAAGCAACGTATTACTGAGCTTGAGGCTGAGCTTGAGGCCAAGAATTCTGAGATTCCTGAACTTAGAAAGAAGCTTGTTGAATTTGAAGCCAGGGATGTCGAAATTCACGAACTTAAAAAGAAAGTTGCCAAAGTTGAGGCCAAAAATATAGAGCGTATAAAGCAGATGATGGAAGAAAATAATAGACGTAACTCTAGAATTAAGAATCTAGAGAAAAATAAGACAGATACCACTGATAGAGTTACTGAATTAGAACAGAAACAGTCGCGAAATGATAATACTTCTAACAACAAATCACCTAACTTCAATTTGAACATAGACCATTATGATAAATTATCGCAGAAGAAAGAGATGGATAATTTCTTAGTTGAGGCACATAAGAAAAACGTTAGTGAAGATATTAGGCAACGCAATAAGAAGAAGAAATTTCAGCGTGAATCAGCTAATCAGAACAGCATTTCTGATATTGCTTATGTATTAGAAATTATAGTAGTTACTCCTCAATCAGTCATTGCAAATACTTCTCAGAAAGAAATCCTCACAATAGATTCGAAAGTGATGTATGATATAAAACCCATTAACAGATATCCTGAACATTCTGAATTATCATGTTAAGAAGTTTTCTAAAAATTCGAAATTATCATATGAGAGACAAAAACAAAAGGAAAAATGCCAATACTCTTTCCAACATCTGCCTGGAGATAAATAGAAATATAGAGACAGAAAGATCGGAAAAAGAAAATTTGTCTAATAGTTTACCAAAAGTATCCCTAAGTACATTATAATGTTTATTTTCTGAAAGATTCAAAGATAAAGTTGTGAAGCTTAGGTCTAATGATTAAAACTTACAAATCAGACTGCAAGAAAGCAAATTTATAATGAAATGAAGCCATATCTTACACATGTTTCAATTGGATATCTACAAATAATGACTTGTAAAGCAAGAAAAATCAATAAGTTATTTGGATATAAATATGACCCTATAACTCTAAAAAAGATTAAAGGTATACTGGGGTTATACATGAAGTCGAAATGAATCATTTCGGATATTCGAAATGGTCGAAATAGTCGAAATCATTTCTTTTTTTTTTTTTTTTGATACTTTTACTAGGCACGCACAAGTGGTATTATATTTGGATGCATACCCTTCAACAGAAA